GAAGGAAGGAAGGAAGGAAGGAAGGAAGGAAGGAAGGAAGGAAGGAAAGGCATATTGGTGCAGTGGTTAAAGTGCTGTATTGCAGGCTAACTCTGTCTATAGCCAGGAAGTTTGATCCTGACCAGCTCAAGGTGGACTCAGCCTTCCATTCTTCCAAGGTCAGTAAAATGAGGAGCCAGATTGTTGGGGGCAAGAGGCTGACGCTTAGAGAGGACTGTACAACACTGTGAAGCAGTATATAAGTCTAAGCAATAGTATGGGAGCCCGGGTGGGCAGGTGGACCCAACAGCAGAGCATTGGAGAGAACTGGTTCAATCTCAGCTGCTCATCGGTGCTACCGGCTCGGCCGAACCGGCCCAAACCAGTAGAATACCACCACTGGTGAATAAATCCCAATGAGCACCTGGGGAGGGGTCTATTAAAGTAAGGGTCTGGGCTTCAGGGCTCCCCTACAATTCTATGCCTTTCCTTTCTTTGGCACCAAATATTAAGATATGCAGCATCACACTGTCTGCAAAGCTAATTCCATAGAAGTAGTCCTTGATTTACAGTCATTTGTTTTAGTGACTGTTCAAAGTTACAATGGCAATGAAAAGAAGTGACTTATGCCCATTTTTCACATTTGCATCCAATCAAGCATCCTCATAATGGCATGAACAAAATGTTGGATGCTTGGCAACTGGCAAGCATTCATGAGGGTTGCACTGTCCCAGGATCGGGTGATCAGTTCTGGCAACCTCCTGTCAGTGGGGAAGCCAGATTCATTAACAACCCGGTTACTTAACTTAACAGCTGCAGTGATTCGCTAACTGTGGCAAGGAAGTTCACACAATGGGGCAGAACGTACTTAACTATCGCCTTGCTTAGCAAGGGAAATTTGGGGTTCAGTTGTGATCATAAGGACTACCTGTATTGCTTGGTATGGAATAGGATAGGATAGGATAGGATAGGATAGGATAGGATAGGATAGGAGCTAGAATAGAATAGGATACAATAGAATAGAATAGGAGCTAGAATAGACTTGAATAGAATAGGAATAGGAATAGAATAGAATAGAATAGAATAGAATAGAATAGGAGCCAGAATAGAATAGAATAGAATAGAATAGAATAGAATAGAATAGAATAGAATAGAATAGAATAGAATAGAATAGA